CGAACCACCGCGCGGCTACTCTCTCTTTCTCTCTCTGTGCCGTGCCCACGAACCACCGCGCGCGTACTCTCTCTCTCTCTCTACCACGAGCCTACTCTCTCTCTCTACTGCGCGCCTACTCTCTCTCTCTCTCTCTGTGCCGCGCCCACGAACCACCGCACACCTACTCTCTCTCTCTCTACCAAGTGCCTACTCTCTCTCTACCGCGCGCCTACTCTCTCTCTCTCTCTCTGTGCCGCGCCAGCGAACCACCGAACACCTACTCTCTCTCTCTCTCTGCTCCGCGCGCCTACTCTCTCTCTCTCTCTCTGTGCCGCGTCCACGAACCACCGCGCGCCTACTCTCCCTCTCTCTCTCTTTCTACCGTGCGCCTACTGTCTCTCTCCCTCTCTCTCTCTCTCTGTGTACCGTGTGCCTACTCGCGCGCCTACACTTCTATAGGACGTAAGAAGAATAAGAAGAAGAAAACGTTCCTGTGGCGCGCTGGCGGGCGGGAGGGGGGGGCTGGCTTCACTGCGTGACGATGACGATGACGATGACGACGGCGACGGGCGACGACAGCGGGGGCGTTGGCTTGTTGACAGAACGGCAGGTGAGTTGGGGGGAGGCGGGAAGTCGTAGGCAGGAGGGAATGGCAGCTCCTAAGTTTCGAAAAGGGAGGCCTCATCTGGGCCGCCGATCTTTCGAGATCAGCGGTCCAGAGAGGCAGCCCTTTTCGAAACTTTGAGGGTGCCTTCCGGACCCGTTTCAAATGTTTTAGGGCCAGGAGGCCCCCACAACCCGCGTGGGGACCTCCTGGCCCGAAAAAAATTCGAACTGGCCAGATTTCGGCTATGCGCTATAGCCGACCAGGGGGCAACCGGCCCGGTGGACTGGCCAGTCCTACCGGCCCCGTTCCGGTTGGGGGTGGACCCTCCAGTGGGACCGGGTTTACAGCCCTGGAGCACCAATTTTTTTTTGGCATTTCAAAAAGAGAGAGAGAGAGAGAGAGAGAGAGAGAGAGAGAGAGAGAGAGAGAGAGAGAGAGAGAGAGAGAGAGAGAGAGAGAGAGAGATTCTTGGGAGGGGGTTCATGTTTGTTTTTGCGTTCTGTCATGTGGGCTAAAAGAAAAAAGAAAAAAGCCAGACTGTGTCAGACTGTTTCTGACTCATCAGGAGGTTGAACCCCGACAGTCTGGCGAGGATGCATTTGACTGATGGATAATGAATCACCACCTGGCACAGAGCTAGCACCCCTGAGAAAAGTGGTAGACTCTGCTCGCACCAATCCAAGCAGACTGTTGGTCCAAATCGCTGCCAAGAATGTGTTTGTTTGTTTGTGTGTGCGTGTATGTGTGTGTGGTACCCTTAGTTAGTACATACTGCACATACTGTTGATATGCATGATACAGAGGCATTGCGGAGTAATATAGACTCATGTAGTAGATATAGTATATACTAGACAGCTCTTTCTTTTTTGGCCCTAAATGCCGATCTGAATCATCCGGACGACACGCCAGCTCATGCACATTGTCGTGGCTTGGTCGCCTGGCTCAGCAGATGTCCACTAGACCCATATTATGGACATCCGGATGACTGGATGACCGGAGTCACAAACATCCAGGATATTCGTCCCTACAGATGGGGGTCTGGAGCCGTCTGAAAATTCGAAGCCAAATTCAAGTTAAATATTTCTTGTAGGCGTGCAGGACACGGCATGTGTGGCGCATGGGGGAAGTATACACCCAGAGAAAACAGGCATCGCAGGCCTGGATCAGTGGTCACCTCCGGCCCCTTTGAAGATTTGTTGTGGGATTAAAAAAAATAAAAATTTGGGAGAGTAATGGCACCACCTAACGGCCAAGACTGACGTCCAAACCCCTATTTGAGGCTTTTTCTCATCCCCAAGGGGACAAAAAGAAAAACGTGTATGACTGTACTTGAACATGACCTGTTCCTTGAGGTAGTATGCTCTTTGGTATCTATGAAAACACTTCAAAACAGTAAAGAAACAAAGAAAGAAAAGAAATTGCTGCTGATCTGGTGCACGGGCAGGTGCCGTGCCACCTCACGGTGCGGTTGCAAGTATGGTACATACGCGTAAATGGTGCAGCCCAGTTGTAAGCCAACAAAATGATCCGGGGAGGAGAGGATTAGGAGGAGAGAATGGTTAATCAGTCAAGTCTGGAATGTTAAGATAAGAACTGAGCGGTCAGCAAGATGTGAAGAATGCAGCAAACAGGAATGGGGGAGTAAGGTTGCACAAAGCGAATGAGTGTGAGGCATCTTACGATCCCTCTCCCCTCCCCTTCCCCTCCCGCTCAGCATTCCATTTCCCTCTGCCTATATACAGAAAGCGTAGTTCAACACTCATTGATACCCTCCCTCCTTTGCCTAACGTATGTAGAGCACCCAATCAATACTCCCCTCTCCTTCCCCAGCTTGCCAGGGACATTTACAACATATCCTACAGCGAAGAGATGCATTGCCTGCTCTAGCAAATTTCTTATTCCTCTAAGTAACTCCTTGTGGTGCTGTATCTTTGGTGGGATATTTCTGCCATCTTGTAGAGAAGAAGAATACAAGACACTGGGCAGCATGGACACATGCAGAAGAGGAGAGTTTTTTTCATGCTCTACGGCGTTGTGGGAAGGTGCATCCACATTCTCTTGACTCTTTCCATGGCTTCTTAAGACTACAGAGACCCTTTCTGTAGTGTCTTCTCACTCTGGCTGCAACGCGTGCCATCTTCCCTACTGTGTTTCTTCGCTAAATAATCAGTCACATGGATCTACAAACAAAAGGCATCCGTTCTTCTGTTTGAAGATTTGATCGAGGAGATCTAACTGCTGTTACATATCCCTCTGCACACTCTGTGAGTGGTTGACTCTTTGCTCACACACCTCTTGATGTTCAAAACTCGTGTGGGTGTTCTTTATCAAGAATGGTGGAATGTGAAACATGTCACAACTGCGCATGCTTTATGTTATTTTTTTATAGTTTGTACCTGGGTTAGGCTGATGGGGTCGGACTGCGCTCGCTAAGAGGAGCCCAAATCCCCAGAGAAACTTGTGAAAGGCATGTGTTTGGGGGGGGGGGGTTGGTTTGACAAGGGGGTAAAAGGGTGTGTTGCAGCAGCCAGTCCGCTGAGGGGAGGGGGGAGAGGAGGAGGGGGAAGAAGAAGAAGAAGAAGAAACAAACAAAGAACGATGAGAAGCAGACTGGTAAAAACCAGGCTGATGACCACTCCCGGAAACAAAGTCATATGGCGGGAGATTTGAGTATCAAAGTCTGTCTCCCTCCCTCTCTCTCTCTCTTTCACACACACACACACACACACACACACACACGACATACGACATTCATCCCAAACCACACACTCGCGTCATCGTCATCTTTATCATTCCATGGTCAGACAGCCACCTTTCCATTTTGCTGTCTAGCCTCTAGGATGTATACACCCCCATCTCTATCTGAAAGCTGATGGCTCCTTCAATCTGGATTTGTTCAAATGTGCGGCTACACATTGTGAAGGGTTTTGGGTCCGTCGTCGGGCCACCCTCTACCCTCAGGGCTTCAACTGTGTCCTTCCACAAGGACGTTTGCCGCCTGTCAGACGACTTCATCGATCAAACATGTGGATTCATTCGCGAGGCGGTCCAAACCCTCCTTCCTCCAGTCGCCCCTCAACACAAACGCACGGTGACAGACCTTCCATTATTGACAATAACCCTGGGCCGTTTCATGCTGTGCGCTCGGCCTTGCATCGCATGCTGGCACACGCAGCCAATTCAGAATGGCAATCCATATCTCATACCCTTTCCCAAGCCACCCCTGCTTGGCGTGCTCGCCTGTTGCAATGGCTGCAGACAAATGTCTCACACCGGACATTCGACAATTGGAATGCATGATCCGTGGTTTGCTTTATTCGCGCCAACCGTATTCGAGCCCTATGCATGATCAGACTCCGTTCTCAATGCATCAAGTTGCTCCAACTACACAACTACGGGGCGTTCTTCGGTTACCAGAGGTCGCAGAATTACATCTGTGGCCAGCTCTGGCCAAAGAAATACGTATCTGCAACAAGATGGTCCCGCACATTCGTGTTCAGTTCTGCAATTTTACAGAAGTGGCACTCAGCATAACACCCAATATGCCGCCTCCAAACCCTAGTGATTGTCCTTGTCGACGAGCGTTTCTGTGCTGTACAGACATTGTTGACGGTCATGTAGCCACAATGGACTGCTCTATTATACAAGACACAAATCTGCGGGCCCTCTTCAAGTACCGCCTCAGTGCTGACACCGCAGATGTGATAAAAGCACTGAAACTTGGTCTGGACGAGTATATTGCTAAGTTCATAGCAACCATGAGATCGACACGTAAGATGGCACACAACAATCACTTCAGGATGCCAACATACCAGGTACCTACTCAGGCTGCCTCACGAATTGCCAATACATCTTTGAAGCAGCTGCAGCAGCACTTTGCCATTGTTCCTGTTGATAAAACATCACACAATATGGCAATTTGCTGCAAACGCTGGTAAGCATATAAGTTATCACAGGATCTTGACAGTTCCACCTACGATCAAGCATCGGATTCCGTGGCCAGCATCCTCGATTGGCTTGCACTTTTCAATGATCACTGGGGCTATCGACATACTGATACCCTACCTTGCCTAAGCACATAAATCCCCACCCGCTCTTCGTCCAATTCTTGGAGTTACACAACGAAACAATTCGTCCAATTCTTGGAGTTAAATAATGAAACAATCTTTCCCAGTATGCCCTCCGTTCAACATCCCGTTGACCCTCTGTCTCAGTCCTGCATAACAGGCCCCCTCACAAGTCCCTTGCAAGTACAACAATGGCCTCTCGCTGACTTAGCTATGCCCTTAAAGGTGTGATCAAATCTTTGTGCAGCAAGGACAATAACCTTTACCGAGAAAGTGGTGTGCGACGTTGCTGGATCACACAAAGTGCTGAGGAAGTCATTTTGGATCTCAAGAAGAATGCACAGTCCCTTCGAGGTTCTACGTCACACACAGCGGACTTTACAACAATGTACACGAATCTGTGGCACGACTGGATACTTAATTATGTCCTAAATGCTGTTCGTGAAGCACATGACTATGCTTTGACGCTGATCCCACAGGGTGGAAGGCGAAGAGAAATGTACATGACTGCAGGAGGGCCTCGTCGCGGGGAATGGGTTACTTCACATAGCACAGACACTCTTTCAGTACAACAGATTGAACAACATTTGCAGTTTGTAGTCTCAAATACTTATCTGTATACAACGGATGGCACTCTCCGCCATCAAGTGGTGGGTATCCCTATGGGCACTAATGCTGGTCCAGAAATTGCCAACCTTACGCTCTATTGGGATGAAGCACAGTTCGTCGATGAGCTTCGTCAGCAAGACCTGCGCGCGGCGCTTGCATATGCATTCACATATAGGTTAATCGCTGGCATTCTATCTTGGCAGACATCCCCACCCCCTCCTACTCGGTACGGGTTTGAGTGGAAAGACACTTCTGAGCAAGATGGCTCATGTCTTTTCCTTGGGGCAAGAATCCAAGTGCGGTCAGATGGCTCGCTTCGCATAGGTGTATTTGATAAGGCCAAGGCTTGGACATTCCCTGTCATAGGTTATCCCAATGCATCCTCCAATGCCCCAGCTCATCAGCCTGCAAGTGTACTTACAGGACAACTAATGAGGTTCGAACATATTTGTAATAATACTACCGACTTCAAAGCGGCAACGACTTCCTTGATTCGACCTATGCTTTTAAGGGGCCATTCTCCTAGTGTCCTGGCCAAAGGCTTGACGGCATATGTGTGTGGCCAGCAGTGCTTGCTACCCACTCACTCGTGAACTGGTTGCATCGTATGGTGCGCTGGGCCATTTCTCACCAACTGCCGAATGCACATTCGGCGTCCAGAGCCTCCACCCGACCACATGCAGCAGTTGCATCACCCACTCCCGTACACCAACTATGGCTGCAGGCATCAGCCCTCCACACAGCACGACACAACGGGTCTACCCCCTCCTGTTACTCCTGCTGAGCTGGCAAACGCCAATCTGGACACGCCAGCCCAGGCGGAGAATGGTCCAACAGCAACAAACAATGCATACACTGCTGTGGTTGCTGTAGGCGCTGAAGGTCAACATCCTACCAATGCGGCTATTGCTGCCGAAATGGTGCCTTCCTCATCACTGTCGCCATCATCACCACCACCACCACCGTCATCGCCACCTCCTCCTCCACCACCACCATCTCCACTACCACCTCTTCCCCCGCCACCGTTACCACCACCGGTATCTCCACCACCATCGCGACCGACGTCATCATCATCCCCATCATCATCGCCACCACCCTCCCTGCCGACATCTTCTTCTACATCATTCACCCCAGTCATCTAACCCGTCTTCTGCTGCTGCTTCTTCCTTCCCTTCTTCTGCTTCTTCTTCTTCTTCCTCCTCTTCCTTCTTTTCTTCGTCTTTGTCATCTCCCCCCTCCTCTACCTTGCCTGATTTATCATCTTCGTTATCAACACATTCCTGGTCAGATTAGCCGTCGCGGCGACCCCTCTACCATTAAATCGGTCATTGCAGACACCTCGTCGGCGAAGGCGCTTTCCGTCTCCAGCACTGTCTCCAAGACAACGGCCTCGTGTATCCCTTGATAGTATAATCACTGTGCCCCCTGCAGGAGTTTGAGATCTGCTCTGACGCCATGCCCGCAACCGTAGAGAACAACGACATCGCGCTCAATACACACTAGCCCGGAATAGTGCACGTCCAGTTCGATGCCAACAATGTGGCGACGATTTCTTCAGCATTACGGGCCTGCGTGTGCATCAGACACGGGGTGCGGCCGCCTGTGCAGCTTGTGCACGACTGGCAGCCACCTTATGTACTAGTGCGGCTGATCAGCCTCCATTACTAACATCTGACCCATCCATATCTCACCCACCCATTTCTCCCCAGCCTGACCCCACACGTTCCCCAGCCCCAATGGTCAATGACCTGCCTTCTGATCATTTAATGGAGCCCTTGACTGTCTTTGACCTCTCTCCGGAGCGTGTGCTAGAGCCAGTGCAGTTTCCACAAATGCAGGAACCTGATAGAAATGATCAAGACCAAATTGAATCTCCGCCCGCGGTGCAATCCACAAAACTGAATGAACTGCCCCCTGCCGCACAACCAGCAGAATCATATGATTTCATAGTGCTGCAGCAAGGCTATTGTGTGTACTATGCTATTTTGCGGATATTGTCCACTGGATAGAAGAAGAGCACCGTGCCGTCCGCCCGAAGGATGACAGTACGGGTCCTGGACTGAACATAAAAGTCTTTTCTATGGCATTTATGGGTAGAAAACTACAACTGCAGCCTGCTCCCCAAAACCACATGCCAGACATGAAGTCAGATATTCGCGCGTACATCCTGGATCCGCCAGGACATTTCAGTGTTGTGACCTTTGCAGACAATTAATGGGCCTTATGGGACAAGGGAGGTAGGGTGCACAAGGTAAGTAGCATGAGCTCTTTTTATAACCAAGTAGCAACTACTCACTCAATTTGGATTGTCCTTCAGGAACAATGTGTTACTTCGCACCCGCAAGCGCTTCAGTCTCTGGAGAGCAATCCGGATGCGCAATTACCTCCTTCCCCGGCACACGACCAAGCAGTGTTCCCACCCTGTTTAGATCGGCCAGATTCTGCTCCAGGCAACGAAAAAACCTCCTTAGAAGATGTTGGCTGTGCCTTTCCATTCTGTAGCCACACAGCCACAGTCTGGTTAGCACGCACAGTGCGTAATCTCTGCTCCGAACACTATGAAGGGATGGTCACTGCCAGCCTCTGTCGTGAAAACTGCGACTCTTCGTCTTGTGTTCACCCCCCCCCCCCCTAATCGCCTGCCCAATATGTCGTCGTGGCCTTAATCTGCCATGCTTAAAT